AAACGGGAATCCTAGTACACCATTGGTGGGAAATGTAAACTGGTGAATCCACTAGGGAATCAGTGCAAAGCTCTCACATAGTAGTTTACAAAGGAAAACCATTTGATCAAGACATCCCAGTAAGCAAATACATCCAAAAATTAGAATCACTACCTATAAGAGAAACCTGCATACCAATGTTCATTGGAGCATTCTTTACAAAAGCCAATTCATGAGAAGAATCAAAATGTTTAACAACACATAAATAGAAATTAATATTTCATATAAAAGGAATAATAATGGGATATTTATTATTCAGTGATTCCAGACTAAAAAGTATTGCCCTCTGTACCCACACACATGAACTAAGAGAACATTCTCCTAAGAGAAATAAAGCAGAGGTAGGAAAAAATGAATAATCGCTGTCAGGTATCATATACATGTAATCTAAAATAAGAAAGCCTAGGGGTTGTGATCAAGATTACAGAAAAGTTAAACCCTATACTCAAATGCTCCATGAGCACATCAGAATTACAACTAAGATTCAAAACAACCATCGTTCAGAAACCACCTGATGTGGATATACAGGAGTTCCACCAAAAAAAAAAGCACAGGAAAAGGAACATCGAAATGAGTAGAAAGGACAAAAATATAAAAATTGTACATCTCACATTCCCAATTTTGTGTAATGGTTCAATACTAGGAGGCACAACTTGACTGTAAAAGTTTCACCTAAAGAATGATGGTTCCCAGCATGACACCTGAAACCCCCTGCCCCCCTTAACCACTGGTGGGAAGACAAGTCCCCAGAACCTCTGGCTGTAGTAACCAGTGAGGGGTTGCTGGAGGGACATGGCAGGTACCTGGAGTCACCTGTGTTCCCCTTAAAGGGCATGAGAATGGAATTACAAGGAACCAGTCACTCTGAGTTTCAGCATCATGGCAGCAGTTGGACATGCAGAGAGCACATGAAATGTTTGGCATCATGGTGTGAGCTGGAGAGGCAACTTTCTCTGACAGATGTGCTGTCATAGGTAATTGTTCCCTTTCTGCAAGAACACCCCACACCACCACCAGACTCACTAGGACCAGCACCATACCCGCAAGTCCTACCACCTGACTACAGCTGTTAGCTCTGCTCTGGTGATTCCCTGATATCTTGCCCCACCAAAACCACAGGCCCGCCAAAGAATTTTCTAGAAGATTTTCCACACATGTGGCCTGTGCTGATCCTGTGTCAGAGTTTTTCTAATATCCATCAAACAGGTGACCTGACTACTGCATATTCCTTAACACCTGAAATGTGACTCCTGGCCTGATGTCAACCCCAGCAGGCCAGTTTCTCAGTTTGACTTCTCCTGGGCACCTCTAAGACAAACTAAAGTAGCAGCCATCCGAAGATCTTTTTGTATCTCATAGCAAGTCACCTAGCAGGGCAGAAGTGGCAGCACAGGTGGATATCCCCAAACTAGGACATGGGGCAGACAGCTTCATTTCATGCCAAAGCACCACCAACAACCTCAAGTAACAAACTGGAATAGCAGTCTTACTGGTAACCAGAATCACACTGAAGTAGGTCCAGCTTTGAGGGATCGACCCCTGAACAGGTGATGTGCCCCAGCACTCGGGGTTGGACTCTATTGTTGTGGCTTCTCCCCATAGTAGACTGTCCCAGGTGTAAACCCATCCCATTCAAGTACAAAAGAACTCAAGGCTAAATTACAAAAGCAGGGTGTACACTGCCCACACTGGTAAGGAGGGCACAACAGGAGCCCCAGCTCGGGTGAACAGGGAGCCTGTGCCAGTGGATTCTATAGGACACTAACTATGTAAGTCCATCTTAAAGGCCAAGAAACATAGTACCTCTACCCTATATACAGAAACAAACACAGGGAGATGGCCAAAATCAAGATGAAAAATATTGCCCTAACTGAAAGAACAGAACTGAGAAACATTGAAATTAAGAGCTATCTGACAGTAACCAGAGGGGACTTGGGAGGGGATAATGAGAAGGAAAGGTAGAAGGGTTTTTCAGGAACAAGTATAAAGGACACATGGATAAAAGCGAAGGAGGGTGGAATCAGTGGAAGGAGGTGGGGGGTAAATGTAGACAACTGTAGTTGAACAACAATAAAATCAAAAGTAATAAATAAATAAATAAATAAATAAACACTTTCATTTTTCAGTAAAGAAAGATCATAAATATTCAGTAAGCAGTTAAATGTCACTATTACACACCTAGATTCTAAAATCAAGTCCAGATCCAATGTCTTTGAATACTGTCACCTGTCAAATAATAACAGTATAGAATAATCAAGATATATTGCTTGTTAAATTGAATCAATAAAAATAAACTTTATTGACATAATTAAAAAATATTAATTCAAACTCTGAAATTACAGTTGTTTGCAGTTTAAAAAAATATTTTGGTGTTGCTGAAGAACAGTTGTCTCCACTTTTAAAAATTAGGATTTGCCTTGCTTGTGTACCTCAGTGGGTGGATCATGGGCTCAGAACCAAAGGGTGGCCAGTTCAACTCCCAGTCAGGGCACATGCCTGGGTTGTGGGCCAGGTCCCCTGAGGGACCATGTGGAAGGCAACCACATATTGATGTTTCCCTCTCTTACTGCCTCCATTCCCTTCTCTTTATAATAAATAAATACAATATTTTTTTTAAAAAATTAGCTTTTTTTTTAAGCAGTGCACCCTAGTTCTGGATAGTGAGCAGCAGTTCTATACAGGACAGCAAGATGAATTGAACCACATCTTTTTTCCCCACAGATTCGGGGGCATGTACACAGCAGGCCTGCAGCAGCTACATGTGAGGATGAGGCCAGATGCTGGGAGACTGTAGGAGACCCCAGGACATGTGATTTCATTAGGGTTCATGTGCAGAGGACTTTGGGGTTCTTGAAATAAGTGTAGATTGTTCAAAATGAACCAAAATGACAAGATCTTGGTAAACGTCTGTGCAGAGGGTCTTATCTAATGGTTATGGCTGGTGAAAGGCCTGAGGTGGAAGGAAGACTGTTGCTCAGAGCAGCTGCCAGTAAGTGAGGTCAAGAAGGGACATTTAACTGTGACTCTGTGAGATGCTGCCTGGTATGTGAAATTGCAGGGGAAGGTTGTGGTGGTTCAAGGATACTAGTTACAGAAAATAAATGCCACAACAGCAATATTATAATGTAGCATAGCTGAACTCTTCAAAAAAACCTTATCATCTACACTTATTACAAGAATGTTCCACTAGGTACAATGGAATTTATCAATATGGGGGAATTTTTCCACATTATTTAATGTCAAAGCCACCAAGAAAACAAACTGCTAATGCCGTAACTGCACTACATTATGGAACAACACATTGTTATCTGTAAACCTGAGTAATGTTAGAGACATTAAAATGTGCCAGCATATTCACCTTTATTAATAAAAATATAAGTTCAAACAGGATCTAAATTAAAAAAATCATAGTACAATTGTGTTACCTTTTCTAAACACACACACTGGACACATTTGGGGAGTGTTATTGTTCTTGTAAATTATCATCTCATGCAACAGTTTTCTTTGGTTTTCTACCTGGAGGCTAAGTGTTCAGCAAATGTGGACATACAACAATGTTCTGCACTGACAGATGAACTGTTCATATTACCTCACATATCATGGATGACTTTTTATTCCAACAATATCAACTAATATTTAACTATGACTACTATCATGAAGATACATCAGGATTTTAATAAATTGACATTTTCTTAAAAGGGAGGGTGTAGAAAAGTATTTAAAATTTTTTAACATTTCTGTGCTTACCATCACACAAAATAGCATGACTTACATTGTAACATACAAAAACATCCTGAGTAACCTTAAAACAGCAACTTTATTTAGATTTTTGATACATTGCACATTATATTGTGCTCAATCTTCTACAGAATGTAATTGTGAGTGATGCTCAGCTAATATACACAAGTTCACAGGGTTGTTAAAGGAACCAACACATCAACCCACTGACTTTCACACACACACCAGGGAATAAAAACAGTAGCATCAACTGCTAGGGAGACTTGGAATCAATTTCATATATCCTTGTCAAAATATTTCAAATGCTGTCAATATACAATAATTTATATTCTGAGTAATTATACCTAACTGGACATCGGTCCTCTTGACATTTTGAGGCACACTGAAAAGTACTGATTGATATTTTTAAACTTTCTGTGATTCTCTATAATAAGTATTCTGATTTAGAGTAATACCTGGAAGCTATAATTAAATCTCTACTCCAAATTATGTTATTTTGAAAGTCATTTTTCATTTACATACTTTCCTGAATTTTTACACCTTTCAAGCCACTTCCAGCTATAAGTTCTTTGAGATTATGGGGACTGTATAAATTCACAAAAGCCTTTCAAATTTTATGAATGTAGAATCCCACCCCACTATGCATTTCAATACATGATGAGGCTGTAGGTCCACGTATATGATTTTCTACAATTTCCCTTTCAATGTTTTTTTATATTTTTTTATATGGTGTGAAATCTCATATGTACTTATGAAGAGAATGTTGAAAAAACCTTTAATTTGTTGAGTATGCTTCCATTATAGGCTAAAATCTTCCCATAATTTCTACATTTGTACAGTTTTTCTCCAGATGGATATCTCCCAATCTGGGTAATGCAGCTCTGGTCACAAAAAGACTTGTTATATACACTGCTTTTATATGGTTTCTTTCCACTATGAGTGACCTGATGTCATAAAGTGTTGCCACAGAGTCCACATTTATAAGCCTTGTGTCCAGTATGAATTCTCTGAAGATAAGTAAGGGTTGGAAGTGGCTAAAAGCTTTATGCCATTATGTACATTTAAAAGGCTTCACTACAGTATAAATATATTTTATGATGAATGAGCATTGAGGACTGTTTAAAGTTTTTTGTCACATTAGGTATATAAGTAAGGAATTACCTCTGTATGAATTATTTGATGTTGAGTAAGGTTTGAGGACTATAAAGTGGTTTATTACATATTCAACACTTACAAGGCTTCTCTCCCATATGAAGTTTCTGATGCCGAGAAAGCTTACAGGACTGGCGAAAGGCTTTACCACATATTTTACATACATAAACCTTTTCATGGGAATGACCACTCCGATGTAAAATAAGGGTTAAGGAGCAAGTACATGATTTGCCACACTGTATACATTCATAAGCCTTCTCTGCAGTGTGAGTTTTTTGATGATTAGTAAGTGTTATCCATTGCCTAAAGGTTTTCCCACATTGTGTACATTCATAGGGCTTCTCTCCAGTATGAATTTTCTGATGATTAGTAAGTGTTTTCAGGTGTCTAAAGGCTTTGCCACATTGTGTACATTCATAGGGCTTCTCTCCAGTATGAATTTTCTGATGTTGAGTAAGTGTTCCCTGGTGTCTAAAGGCTTTCCCACATTGTGTACATTCATAAGGCTTCTCTCCAGTATGAATTTTCTGATGATTAGTAAGTGTTTTCAGGTGCCTAAAGGCTTTCCCACATTGTGTACATTCATAGGGCTTCTCTCCAGTATGAATTTTCTGATGTTGAGTAAGTGTTCCCTGGTGTCTAAAGGCTTTCCCACATTGTGTACATTCATAACGCTTCTCTCCAGTATGAATTTTCTGATGATTAGTAAGTGTTGTCAGGTGCCTAAAGGCTTTACCACATCCTGTACATTCATAAGGCTTCTCTCCAGTATGGATTTTCTGATGATTAGTAAGTGTTGTCAGGTGCCTAAATGCTTTACCACATTCTGTACATTCATAAGGCTTCTCTCCAGTATGAATTTTCTGATGTGAAATAAGGCTTGAAGAGTGTGTAAATTCTTTTTCACAATGTGTACATTTATAAGGCTTCTTTCCAGTATGAATTCTTTCGTGGCAAGTAAGGCTTGAAGACTGTGTAAATGCTTTGTCATATTGTATACATTTATAAGCTTTCCCTGCAGTATGAACTCTCTGATGACAAGTAAAGGTTGAGGACCACCTAAAGGCTTTTCCACATTCTCTACACTCATAATGCTTTTCTCCAGTATGAATTCTGTGATCTTGTGCAAGATTACAGGACTCTGTAAAGGCACTGTCTCCTTCACTACATTGGAAATTTTTCTTTCCTGTATAAATTTTCTGATATTCATTGAAATCTGAAGACTGGCTAAAAGCTTTACCACATTCTCTATATTTACCAGGCCCATGTCCAGTGTGAAATCTGTGATGATGAGTAAGGGTTGAGGTAATCCTAAATGCATTGCCACATTCTTTACACATATCAGCCTTTTGTCCAGGATAAATACTTTTATGTAGATTTACACCTGAAAAACAATGACCTGTTTTACCACAGTCTTTACACTTGTGTTCTTCTCTGGTACCTATTTTGTTAAGTGTATTTAGATTAGGTATTTGATTGAAGACTTTCATGCATGGTAAATATTTGTAAACTTTCTCCCCAACAGCAATATTTGTTTCTTCAGTGCTACTTGAAGATTCCTTTAAACATGTGATATATTTACTTTGCTTGGTTTTCAGCTTCACAATAGGAAAATCCTGATGAGTATTGTGATTTGACATTTTGGTCAAAGACTTTACCACCTTCATAATGGCTATCTGGAAGCTGAGTCTTCTGATGTACTTTAGGATTTGACTCGTGGATAGAATTCTTCCAATTTGCATTGCATTGACTACTTCTGTCTGAGTCCCATGTACTCTAGTGAACATTGAACACAGAAAGGCCTTTTGTGACATCTGTAACTTCATTAAACCTGTGCACTTATTCCCAAATAAGCATTCTGCAATCCCTATTAAGCCATGTTTGTTGTATTAAAAATCACTCACAAGTTCATTAAAATATTGTACAATTAAATGAAAAATGTTATTTCTAAAAGAAGCATATTTCCTTAGTACAGGCATTATCAAATTGATCCCATTTAAGCTTTATGCATGCATTTTAAATGACCACATTATAAAAATTATTGACTGAAAATTTATTCTCACTCTACATTTTAAACAATTCAAATGATTACACACACCACAAATTATTAGATTTCCTAGATTTTGCACACTGACTTTAGGACAGGGGTGTCAAACTCATTTTCCCAGGGGTCACATCAGCCTCCAGGTTGCCTTCAGTGGGCCACATGTGATTTTAGGATTGGGTAAATGTAACCATTCCTTCACTAGGGGAAGGAGATCGATACTGCCACCGGGTATAAACACAGTGCTGGGCTGGATAACAGAAGGTGGAGGGCCACATTTGGCCTGGAGGTCCTGTGTTTGCCACTTGCTCTTTACAAGAATACATACACTTAAAACATTATTTTAAGTCTTCTTATTTGGAAACACATTGATCTGCAAATGTAACTGATTTAAATTGGAAGTTTTCCCAAATTTGTAATATTTCTCACATCTTTAGATAACAAGGATTTTTCATGAATAATTTTTCAAACTTAGGTCTCTCCATTTAAACATCTTTTCTATCTTGTCACACACTCCTTTATCAGTATCAAAGGCACACCTCTCATATCTTACCAGTGTTGCTTCAAAGAATAAATCTTCTCTTCCTGACCTTTGCAAGAAGTCCTGGTTGTCTGCAGATGACACAGCTGAAAGACACAAAATAAAGTTTCACAGGTGTGAAACACAGGTCAATGTACATTGAACTTACAAGGAATTTTTAAATAAATCACAGTGTTGAGTACTTCAAAAAAAAACTTTGAAATGTTTGCAGCAAGACCAAGTATGGTACAATGAGAAAAATTCACATAGAAAAGGAACAACAGTTGCTTATACTCAGGAACCACTGAGCTCACATTCCCTGGCACACAGTGGAAATAGGATAAGAAAACTCCACATTCCCAGTTCTTTTCTAGACACATAGAGGGTCCAGTGTGTTCAATGATCTCACAGTTTTCAAGCATCTTCAAAATATGTGTTTCTGTTTGGCAGGACACACAGTGCTCACACCATAACAGCACATGGTGAATACATTAAAGTGCACACTGAAAAGGAATGGTGATACTTGAAATACCACAGAAACCCATGGACTGAAGATCAATATCAAGCATAAAAATATACCCTGGGCTTTGAGAAATAAACTGACACTATATTAAACTTGCTCCTCACACACACTCAAAAACAAACACACACCACTTGTGTTTATCAAAATTAGAGTTTAAATTAGGGGTGAATGTTATTTTTTTTTCTCTTAACCTGGAGAAAGGAAGTTCATAAAGCCTAGTTGTTTACAGTTCTGAAATTCAACAAATATATCAAGACAGGAAACAGAAAACCAATTCAAATCAGAAAATTAAAATATATCTACAAAATTGGCACTAGGTGTATTGAAATGTAATACCTACTGGATAAAGAAGTGAAAATACCCACCTGAATATAGAAACATAGAAAAATATGACAACTACTTAATAGTAGCAAACCTGTAAATGACCAAAATAAAAATCAAAACAGAGAAAATGTAAAAGTAAGCCAAACATAGAATGGGAAGCTGAAAAACAGAATATTCAAATTGAAAAATACATTAAAATATAGAAACATCAAGCAGTTGCCTGTTTATGTCCCCAGCCAGGTAACAGGCCCACAACCCAGGCATATTCCTTTTCCCAGAAGTAAACCAGAGACCCTAGCTTTAAGGGATGTTGCTCCACAAACTGAGCCACTAAGGCAAGGGCAAAAGCTAATAGCTCTTAATTCACTAAAAAAAGAGATTTGTAGGGCATTTTTTTTTATTATAACACCCAAAGGAAATGTAAACCAGCAAAAGTAAACAAATAGCATTACACCAAATATAAAAACTCCTGCACATTAAAGCAAACAACCAGTAGGATAAAATCACATCCTGTAGAAGGAAGAAAATTTCTGCAAAGTGTACCTGATAAGTAGTTAATACCCAGGTTATATGAAGGACTTTTACAAAACATCATGATAAAACAAGTAACCCAATTTTTAAAATGAACAAATATATGTCATTAACTAATTTATTAAAAAAATCAGGAATATACAATGAGATCAGACAGATTCTATCATAAATGGTCTGAGAGAAACTGAACCAATACACACAAAACATTATAAGTAGACCACTTTGTTATGACATGTACCAAAATAAACTTCAAGTGGATTAAAACCTAAATTTAAGACCTGAAACCATGAAAACACTAGAAGAAAGGACAGCTGACAAACTCTGTCATGACTCTTAAAAAATATTCTTTTAGATATAACATGGTAGGTAGAGCAGACAGGAGAAAAAAAAACTAAACAAGACTACAATAAAATAAGTTTTTGCAGAACAATGGAAATCATCAAGAAAACAAAACAATCTAGTGAATAGTGGAAGATACCCACAAATAATGCTAAATATTCAAAGGATACAAGGAACTTACACGACTCAAAACAAAAAAACAAAACAATCTGATGGAAAAACAGGGAGCACTGGCTTGTGTGCTCAATGGATCGATTGCTGGCGCCTCTGAACCAAAGGATCGCTAGTTGGATTCCCAGTAAGAGCACATGCCTACAGTGTGGGCCAGGTTCAGTTTTCATATTGCACTTCTGCATACGTGCTGAACAGACTTTGTTACACCAAAAAAATTATCTCTCAACATGTCACCTTCAAGCGATGAGTCATGATGTGTTTATGGAAATTATGAAAAAAAAACGGACTGCAAATATAAGTTCCATGTTACTGAACAATTACAAAAATTTAATTGTATGCACTGCATACATTTTTTGTAAAGATTCTATTTATTTTTATAGAGGGGAAGGGAGAGAGAAAGAGAGGGAGAGAAACATCCATGTGTGGTTGCCTCTTGCCCACCCCCTACTGAGGGCCTGGTTTGCAACCCAGGCAATTGCCCCAGACTGGAAATGCAACTGGCGACCCTTTTGTTTGCAGGCTGGGGGTCAATACACTGAGGCACGGAAGCTCAGGAGACCACATACATTTTAAGGCAAATTGTAAACCAACTTTGTTTCTTAATTTCATAGTATTAACATTTAAACTGATGTCTCAAATGAAGCATTAAGAAAAAAAAAGCAAGCATCATCATGAGGGAAAAGGACAACTCATAAGCTGAGAAAAAATATTTGGAAGCCCTGTGTAGTGTGGTTCAGTGGACTGAGCCCCTGCCTTTGAACCAAAATGTCAGCAGTCTGATTCTTGGTAAGGGCACAGGCCTGGGTTTTGCTCCAGATCCCCATTTGGTGGTGTGTGAGAGGCAACTGATCAATGTGTTTTTTAGGCATTGATGTTTCTCTCCCTTTCTCCCTTACCTCTCTCTAGAAATAGATAAATAAAATATTTTTAAAAAAATATATAGATAAAAAGACGGTGTCTAAAAGACTCTCAACATCTTGTGTCTTTTAGGAAATGGATATTAAAAGAAGGAAAATTGAAGAAAGTGCACATTCAAGCAACAGCAAAACACCTGCTGGAAAGGTCAGAATCCAGAACACTGAGAAAAGCAAATGCTGCTGTGCATGTGGAGCAAATGGAGCTCTCATTCCTTACTGGTAAAAATACAAAATGCTACAGTCACTTGGGAAGGGTTTAGACATCCTCACACAACTAAGCAAACACTTATTACATAATCCAAAAAATGTGCTCTATAGTATTTAACCAAAGAGCTAAAAATGTTATCTACACTAAAGCCTACATGGCACTATTTTTAGAAGTATCATTCATAAATTCCAAAAATTCAAATCAATGAAGATATATGTGAACAGGTGAATAGAAAAAGAAACTGAAATATATACAATGAAATATTATTTAGCACTAAAAATGATATATCAAGGCATGAAAGAAATGTAAATTAATAGAATTAAGAGAATTTATTCCATCTCACCCACTGCTCAGTTTGTTAGAGCATCATGTGCATGTTAGAGCATACATACACAAATGTCACAAGGTATATGTCACCCCAAAATATTCAATTGAGGATTCGAAAGAGACATTTGCATATATGTGTCAATGGTAGCATTAAATACAAAAGCCTGGTAGGTGGAAACAACCACCAGGTCAATGGATAAATACATTAAAAATTGTAGTATATTCAGTGCCAGCTGTTGTGGCTCAGTGGATGGAGTGCTGGCCTGTGAACAAAAGAGTTCCTGCTTCAATGTCAAGTCAGGGCTCATGCCAGGGTTTCGGGCCAGGTCCCCAAGAGGTGTTGCACAAGAAGCAAATACACACCAGTGTTTCCCTCTTTTTCTTTTTCTCTTTCCCTCTCTCTAGAAATCAACAAAATATTTCAACAAGTTATACAAATGCAGTACATATACACAATGGAATACTGCTCTGCCTGGAAATAGAAAATATGTTCTCACCTGGTACCACAAAGTCAGACTGGAACATGTGCTAAGTGAAGCACTTGAGTCACAAAGACACATGACACAGTCTATCACTTAGGTGAGTTATAATGGAGTGCAACTCAGAGAAAACAATAGGTAGTTACCTGAGCCTTGGTTTTACAGAAAAATGAGGAAGTGATTGTTTAAAGGATATTGCCACATTTCTGTGAGATGAAAGTTTCCAGAATTCAGATGCACAATTAACCAGATAATCTTCGTGTGACTTAACTGTACAACTA